TGTGGTTTTGTCAATGCCAATGGTCTTGAAGTGGTGCTCCAGATGTTTTGGGATTGCCCCTATAACAATTGGTATTTCTTTGGTTTCTTTTGCCACAGTCATTCTATTTCTATTTGGAGGAGGAGGAGGAGGATTACACTTGAGTTACTGGGCATCAAAAGAAAGTAAAATTGAATGTTTTTAAAACAAATAGATGTGTTCCACAATATGACCATGAGACAGGAGAGGTAATTGGCCATAGCACTTTTCCTCCGGTTTTCAGCTAAACAAGATGATAGTATCCAAGGATGGTTCACATTTTTCTGTTTTCAAAGGCTACAGTATGCAAGTGCTGTTCCTTTTCTTAATCTCTAAGAATGGGCCAAAAATATAATTAAGTAAATAAGTGAATAAGTAAGTTAGATATAGATAGTTAATATAGTTAATAAATAAATATACATAGAAATGCACACAAAATAGCATAAGCATCTGCGATATTAATCATCACTGATATTATTATAATTGTTATTGTTTTTTGTTGTAGTTGTGGTTTTAGCTCATCCTCATATTATCGTCATTTCTCTTGCTTGAGAAGAAAAGACAGGCTTTGTTCCCATCTACCCTGTGATGTATTAAGAATATAAAAATGGCCTGGTCGTCAAAACCTGTAGTCTCATTCTTCCTGAATTTGTCCAGTCCTCATGTTCCTACTTTATGATCTAATTTTATTTATTTTATAAATAAATCTTTTAAAATATTTTATTTATGCTGAATTTTGCAAGATATCTGGAGTCTGTTACTCACTAAATGAATGATCTTTTATTCTTCTAAAATATCCTTTTGGGTGAGGGTTATCTTGAAGTTTTTACCTTGACATCTTGTCTTCTATTTGCAAACAAAGAAGAAAATATCCATCAGGAGATTAAGTGCAAAAGACTAAAAAAAATTGAACCCCTTCCCTACTGCCTGAAAGGACTTGGACCATTGAGGTACATCGATTGATGCCCAGGACACACAGACTTTGAACATTCATCACTGATTACAACACTGGGTAGAAAGCTAGTACTGATAGGGAT